CTTGGCTGGCAATTTTTTTCTTTCAAGGTTTTATATATGTCATCCCATTGCCTTCTTGCCTGCATGGTTTCTGCCAAATAATCTGAGCTTAGTCTTATGTTTCTCCTCTGTATGTGACTTCTTGTTTTTTATGAGCTGCTCTCAGGATTCTTTGTTTGTCTTTGGTTTTGGTGAGTGTGATTATGCTATGCCTTGGTGATTTTTTTGGGTGGTCTGTCCTATATGAGGTTCATTGAGCTTCTTGGATGGCCAGCTTTTCATCTTTCATGAGATTAGGGAAGTTTTCTGTCAGCAGTTCTTCAACGATCTCTGTGTTTTCTGTTTTCTTCCCCTGTTCTGGAACTCTGATCACTCACAAATTTTTGCTTTTGATTGTATCCCACATAATTCTCAGGGTCTCTTCATTTTTGTTTGTTCTTTTTTCTGAGTTTTCCTTGAACAGAGTTGTATCCATGTGTTTTTCTTCAATTCCACTGATCCTGTCTTCCACCGTTTCAAATCTGCTCCTCAGCCCTTCTATGACACTGTCCATTTCTGAAATCTTTTTTGTTTATCTTTCAGATTTCTAATTGTTGTTTTTGTATAATCTCTATTTGTGAATTTATTTTAGCATTTTGTTCCTGCATTATTTTCCTGAATTCTTCCATTTTTTTGTCTGTGTTTTCCATGAGTTTGTCTGCCTTTTCCATGAATTTGCCTATTTTTTCCTCATTTTTGTCTGCTTTTTGCTTCAATTCTTGGATAATTCTTAGTATTAGAGATTCGAATTCCCTATCAGGTACTTCTAGTGCCTTTTCTTCCACTGGAAAGTCATCTGGTGTTTTATTTTGGACACCTACTCTAACCATCATATCCTGTTTTTGTAAATGTTTTGATATTGTCTGCTGTCTTTGGGGCATTCAGTAGTTATTTTTCTCATTTATTGACTGTAGATTTGTTTGTTTCATCCTTTTTTTTATTTGGCTAGGTCTGAGCAGGCGGGCTGTGTGTTCTTTGTTGTTTGCTCGTCTGTGGGCACAATACTTTTCACGTCCTTCTCCAATTGTCAGGGTCAGTCGCTCAGATATGGTACAGTGGGGCAGGTTTAACTGAAGAGGAGTTGCTGGGATGGGTTGTTTGTGGCACTTACTACAGTCACCAGGGCATGTTGGTAATCAATGCAGGGCAGGTTCTGGTAGGCCATGCTTGTGCTGCTTGGTGGTGTGATGTTAAGTGCACTGTGCAGGTAGGAAGGATGGAGGGGGGAGATTGTGATGTGTGGAGCTAAGATGAATATGGGAGAGAGGAGAGAGTAACAGGAGCCAAAAACATACAAACAAAAAAGAGTGCTAGGGGAGCTTGCCTTTGGAGTGGAGAGATGAGAGACTACAAAGTGGAGAAAAACAAAAAGGGGAAGAAGAAGAAAAAATAAAATAAAATAAAAGAATGAATAAATAAAAGTTAGAAAGAAAAAAGAACAGCAAAGCTCCCAGGGATCCCACTGGTGCGGCTATGAGGTCTGGGGAAGTTGTTCCCAGGTGTTGCAGAACAGCCTGGCTAGAAGGCATAGAGGTATTCAGCGTCAGCTATTCAGGGGACAGGAAGAGAAGGAAGGTATAGAGAGACAAGAAACTGCATAATGAAGAAAGACAAAAAGGGAAAAAGAGGGAAAAGAAAACAAAACAAATTAAAAAAAAAGAAATGCCCCCCCCACCAAAAAAAGACACGAAGAAAGAAATGACCTCAGGGATCCCTCTGCGCGTCTATACAAGCCACATAGCACTGCCCAGCCAGAACGGGCTCACAACTGGAGAAAAGAAAAAGAAAACAAACAAACAATTTAAAGCAAATAAACAACAAACAAAAAAACCCCGGTATCCCCCCAGCGTGGCAGCACAGACCAGGAAGCAGTTCCACACTCAAACGGAGCTCCGCAGCCCCTTAAGAAGAAGAAAAGACGGTGTCCAGAGCCAGGTATTTGAGTGAAAGGAGGGGGAGGTGGTGAGAGGTAATGAAGAAATCAAAAGAAGCAGATAAAAGCAACACCAGCAGCCAACAAATGGCACTCAGGGAGTCGGCCAGTGCGGGCAGGTGGAATCCAAGCAGCCCATGCTTCCCAACCAAGAGACTGTGGCCATGGGAAGCAGAGAAGGCCAAGTGGGGATGAAGAAAGGTGGGGGGTGGGAAAGCGTATATCACCAATTACCAGTTGTTGTGTCTCCTGTTGGAGGCTCTGTGAAGCTGCTCTTTCGTACCCCCATTTGCTGGTCTCTGATAGGAATCCAAGATGGCGGATCCATGCTGCATTAGCTGATATGGGACCTCTGCATGAATCTCTCCTTGCTCTCCGTTCTCTGTCAGTTTTCTCACTCCATTTGGTGCTTGGATGAGTTCTTCATCTCTTCATTTGATGTTTTAGGGTTTCAGGATTGCTGTTTTCTCTGTTTGGCTTAGTTTTTCGGATTTTTGCTGTGGAGGGATGGCCCTTCACAGCAAAGATCCGAAAAACTAAGCCAAACAGAGAGTGTAGTTTGCCTTCTTGTACATTAGAGGCCGGATAGGTTAAAGCTAAGTTTCTCAGACCACCTTGCCACTGGATTCCCTATGTGACTTAGCTCCTGCTGAGCAGATGACTTGTAAGAGACTTGGAGATCTGAATAGTGTGAGGTAGAGGCTGGGTAGCTCTTGTAGCAAGCATGATTGTTGGGGTATTTTAGTTTATATACAGCTATTGTGACAGAGAGGCTAGGGCTTTTGTGGAATAGGCAACGGTGATAGTAGCAGAATTTCTACTGAAAAAGTTTCATGATATGGTTGGGTATTTCTCCTGTCTGGGTGATTCTTGCAGTATAGCATCCATGCTTGTTCTGGCTCTCCCAGAAATTTTGTGAACTTATAATACATCTGTTTTGATTTATAGTAGCTAGAGAGGATTCTGCCTTCTGCAGCTGAGAACCTGCTGCAGATGTAATTAAGGGAAAGAGTGGGAAATAATAAAAGGTCAAAAAAGCAAGTTAAAGAAGAGTGTATTAGAGCCACAGTCAATGTTTAAAGCAAAGTGAAATCTCAAAGAGTTTAATGAAGTGAGATTAGGAACACTGTAAATGACTTCTGCTTTTTTGAATGGCTTGCTGCACAATGAGGCTTACCCATCACAGATCAGTCTACAGTCTAGATGGACTTTGACCCTGTTACTCTTCTATTTAATTGACAACCACCACGTTTCTTTCTTTTCTTTCCTGTTCTATCCCTCAGTTTCTTTCTTTTCTTTCCTGTTCTATCCCTCAGCCATAATAATATTTTCTCATTACCTAAGTCCACTGCTTATGTCCTTTGTTTCTCCTTTTATATCTTTATTACCTTCCACATTTTTTGATTTTGTTTTTGCTGCACAACTCCATCCTAGCGGCTTTATCCACTATTAGCACCATCTGAGAGAGAACTTCACATCACAGAATTCATTTGAAGAGCTAGATAGCTAGATTAAATTTGTTTCTCAAAGTAAACAAGGCAATGTGTGTTTTTTTTTTTTACATTTTAGCTTTATTTTTTAGAGCAGTCATAGATTTACAGAGAAATTGCACAGAAAGTGTAGACAGTTCCTACTTAGGCCCTCTCCTCCTGCACAGAATTTTTCTTATTGTTAATGTCTTGCATTAATGTGGTATATTTGTTACAGTTAATGAACTAATATTGATACATCATTATTAATTAAGGTCTATAGTTTGAATTAGGACTCTTTGTATCATACAGTCTTGTGGTTTTTAACAAACATATAATAATGTCATGTGTCTGCCATTACAGAATCATGCAGAATAGTTTCACTGCTCTAAATATGCCCATAACCCCCTGGAAAACACTAATCTTTGTACTATCTCTATAATTTTGCCTTTTCTAGAATGTCACATAGTTGGAATCATACAGTAGGTAGCTTTTTCAGACTGGCTTCTTTTACTTAGCAATAGACTTTTAAGTTTCCTTCATACCTTTTCATGGCTTGATAAGTCATTTCTTTCCGTTGCTGAATAACACTCCACTGTATGGATGCACCACAGTTTATTTATCCATTCGCCTATTTGAAGGACATCTTGGTTGCTTCCAATTTTTGGCAATATTTTTATACAGGTTTTTGTATGGGCATAAGTTTTCAACTCAGTTGGGTAAATACCTAGGAATGTGATTGCTGGGTCATATGGTCAGCTTATGTTCAGCTTTGTAAGAGACTGGCAAACTGCCAAAGTGGTTCTACCATTTTTTACTCCCATCAACAATAAATGAGAGTTCCTGTAAAATATGTTATATATAATAGTATATTTATAAAATATATAAAACTGCTGGAGAAATTTGATCAATGACTGGATACTTGATGTCATTTTTAGATGTGATAATGCTTTTAAAAAGTGTCCTTATACTTTAGAGATACATACTTAAATACTAGTGTTGTGCCAAGTCATATTGGAGCCTGAAGCAAAAGGAAAAATCAGTGATACTGTTCCTGCCTTTATTTAAAATTTGATAGTTTGTTCATCATGAATTTTTGCATTAATTCTGATTTTTTTAAATTGCATTAAAATATTATTTGTCTCGGTTACTAATTTTTTGACAGCTCCCTAAATTTTGTGCTCGAGGCTGATACCTTACTCTCCTCACTCTAGTCCCGGCTGTGTTAAATTTATGGATGTTATGATATGTCTGACATTTGCTTCAAACAGTAGGGAGGAGGGGGTGGGACTGGGTTATAGATTATTAAGAGTGGTCATAAATTGCTGATCTTTGAACGTGTGAAATATGTACATTATACTATTCTGTCTACCTTTGTACAAGTATATACTTTTAAGTTTTTCCATACAATTTCTCAGGCAAACTTGAACCCTTTCCCGCCCACAAAATACATTGAGCTCTAAAACTAACCACAGAGACGTAGAAACCTCCGAGACTCCTAGAGTGAACCCGGAAATGACCGAAGGGCAAGGGACCCAGACTGTTCTTTTTTGCACCCCGGAGGTGTTGGTATTTGCGGTCTTGTATTGTGCGATCTTGGGGACCAACACGCCTATGCTCTTGTGACCCAGCAGGGCCGCCAGGTGCTTTGAGGCCTTCCGAGAAGGCGCGCGCTTCGCAGCTTCCAGCCCAACGACGGTGGGACTTGGGGAAATACCGAGGAGCTTAGGTCTCGGATGGGAGTTGGCCCGTATGGCCCACATTATTGCTCAGAAGAAGCCAGTTGCAAAAACTGGGAGGCGACAGGCGGAGACGAAGGCAAACAAGCGCTGAAGCTTCACTTCCGCGCCCCAGCGCAACCTATGGGGGTTCTGGTAGGGAACCAAGCGGACAACTCTGCAGAGACTCAGCTGACCCAGGAGCAGATGGCAATGACCTGGATGCCGCCCAACAGATGAGGTACAGTGGGAAGCAGCCTAGCCTTGTGGACGGTAATAAGTCACTGTTTCGGAGTGTGGTTGTGAGGAACGGATGCATGCAGGGAGGTATTCAGCCTCTTGGGCTACAGGTGCTGGAGAGTTTACCTGCCCTGGATAACAAAATCTTGTGGAAGAGCATCACTGGAAGGCAGATATGTCCTGACTGTGTTGAGTGCACTATTTGAAGATTCTGGGCATCAGGTGAATTTGGAATGTGTAATGTTGGGGATGGAGTTGGTGTTTATATCAGACAATAGCAGTACGTCTCAGCAGCGTGGCTGTACCTTAGGACCATCTGGAGAGCTCTGTTAAGTTCCTAGGTGATGCCAATGTGCAGCCAGTGATGGTAACCACTGGGCTATACTCAGATCCAAGAGGTGCATCTCACCCTTATTCTCCAGAGCAGTAACCATGCTTCTGACACTGCTCAGCCTTTCTTATACAACAGTGTCCTTCCATGGGGAAAGAATAGAGCACTGTTAGAACGTGAGGAGTGGGAGAAAACTTTTGTACAACATCAGAGAATCCTTGCTAATGAGGGAGTTTGTCAGTGTGACTAACTGGAAAGGTTTCTGACCAGAAACTTTATTGCTTTATACAATACTAATTGGAAAAGTTTCTGACCAGAGTAAATATTGTTACATCTCACATGACACAGTATTTAAGGAAACTTATGTGTATCAACCTTTAACGTATGGTTTCATGGCAGCCCCAAATCAGTTTGCCACCCACTGCTCTATTCTGATAGTTAAAGAGCCTAAGTTCCGAGAGCCGCAAGTAGAAACTGGATCAGTGGATTTACAAACTGCAAAAATTTTGTATTCCTTCCCAAAGAACCTGACTTTAGAATGTGGTCACTTACCTTTTCCAAATTTTCTTAAACCATAAATAGGTTAAGGCAATACAGTGTAAAGTAGCTGGTACATCTGCTAATTGTGAATCAGGACATCTCAGCTTCAAAAGAAAGCTTGAGCTTAAATTAGATATTAAAAGATATAAATGTTCAACTTAAAAGCTTGGGCCAAAACTATGTTTAAACATAACACTGTTAGGACAAAACTACACTGAATTTTATTTAAAGGTTGACTTTTCTCATTGTTTAAAAAAGTGTCCTTCATTTCTTATAAATCACTTGTTTTCTGCACATTGGCACATCCTCTTGGCTGATTTGTAAGTGATATGGCTCTGTCAAATTCAGACTCATCTACTTTAGAGAATGAGCCTTTTAGCAAACATTAACTTTCTAAAATTATTTTTCCCTAATTTTAAACTGTTTGCTATTCTTAAATATCTTTACATTTTTTCTATTGTCATATTGTACATTTCAGAACTCACTCCCTAACCTGATATATACACTGTTCAGCTGATATGTTAAAATTAGTAATTTTGATCTAGTGTTTTCAGAATCAAAGTTGAAATTCCAGATGAGCCTGGCAAATATTTTTGTACATAAGCCTTGCTTCTTTTGATTAAATGAAAGTGATATGTTGAGAAATGTAAATTCCTCAGTGTTTAGGTTATACTCCTAAATAAGGCAGTCTATGAAATATTCAGAAAAGAAATAAATCTAGTTACTGCCTCTTTTGTAAACAGCTGTCCAGTTTCTCTGGTCAGAGAGCCCAAATTTATGACTGTGAATGCCAGGCTGAAATTCAGGACAGAGAAACTTAATTCCTAAGTTAATGCTCCTTACTCCCCTACTTTGTACAAATGAAACAGGAAGAAAATATACAAAGAAGCCTTTATTTTGAGAAGTATATGCTGTACTTGGGAAGTCACATTAAAACAAAACAAAACAAAAAAACCCATAGGAGTACTTACGAACAAGTATTCAAATAACACAAGCACCATTTACATCCAGTTTGATAGAACCTTTTAAAAAGAGAGGAGACAGCAATTAAGAGGTTCCATGGCCTTAAGTTTTATGGTTTCATGTGGTGGCTGGGATAGGAGGGCACAGGGAGTAAACATCTTTTTGCTAAAATATTCAGACCCCCCTCAAGTCAATAAATGTGGGCTTCAGAATTGTAGTTTTTAGACTCTTTAAGAATCTGATGCAAACTATTGACTGATTCCTCAGAAAAATACACATACACTTGAAATTTTGCATGAGTTTCTTTATGGGCACCCTTGAAGTAGGTGCTATGTATTATTTACCCAAAATGCCTTTCTTTTTGACTTCCTCCACCATGGTGGCTGGAGAGCCAAAAATCCTTCCCTTCCCTGACTTCCTCGTCGTTGGGGTGGCATGTGACCTGGGTCTACACTGGGCTTCAAGTGAAAGTCACTGTGGGGCTTCTGGAAAGGTTTTCTTAAAGACAGTGGCTTGGCTGGCATGCCCCATCAGCTCTTTACCCTTTCCTTCTTTGCCCTTCTCTCTTCCTGTCTGGAAAGCAGAGATTCCTGGAGGAACAGCAGCTATTATGGGCCGTAATGACAAAAGCCAACAACCAAAGAAGATTGAGCAGGAAGACAGAAGGAGCCTGGGAACTTGATGACATTCTTGAACAGTGGCATCAGCCCTGGATGATATACCTCTGGACTTCTTGTTAAATAAGTTCAGTTAACTCCTTTTTATTTAGCCAACTGGAGTGGAATTTTCTGTTACAGTGAATCCAGTACTATCTGATGATACTGGTTAATACATATTAGCACCTGTTATGTGCCAGGTGCAGTTTTAAGCACTTCATTTACTAACTGTTTTAATCCTCACAGTGACCTTTGAGATAAGCTGGTGGTTCTCAAAGTGTGGTTTCTGAGGTAGCAGCATCTGCATCACCTGGAAAGTTGTTAGAAATGCACATTTTGGGGTCTTACCATAGACCTACTGAATGAGAAATTCTAGGGATGGGGATCCAGCAGTCTGTTTTAACAAGCCCTCCAGGCAATTCTAATGAGTGCTAAAGCTTGATAGTCACAGAGATAGAACATTATTACTATCTCCATTTTAGAGATAAGGAGACTGAGCTGATGTTAAGTCACTTGTCCAGTGTCACACAACTAGCAAGATGACTCCTAAGTCTGTGTCTCTAACCCCTACATTATACCCCTGAAGCCCATCACATGTTAAGAATTCCTGCTTGAGTGTAGTGGTTTTCAGAATTTGAAAGCATACTTCTATGAAAAATGATATATCCCCTTGCATGCTTTTAAGATGACATTTAAAAATTTCACATCATAAGTTTAAACAATTGTAAATAATATGATTTCCAGTACATGGTAGATTGTGACATTGTAAAATGTGCTTCATCATTCTATGTGTATTTAGTAGAGTCTAAATACTTTGCTGATTTAAATCTACTATCATCCAGTTAAAAAATAAACTTTTCTTTCACATTAAAAATTTTACATCTTTTGTTGTATTCCATTTTAAAAAAATGATATTTAAATGGTAGCGTACAGCTGTTTCTGTGTGCTTGATGCTATTGTTTCTTAAGTTCCTCCTAGATCCATTCAGAAAGAGGGAAAAGGAAGATGTCGACATCCCAAAATACTTTTCATTGTTCAACCCAGAAGATAAATCCTTCCTATTCAGTTCTGCTGGTGATCAATGTTGTATGAATGCGCAGCAGAGAGTCACCTCAAACATATATAGACTCTGCAGTACATCAGGCACAGATAAAGTTGCTATTAAAAGCAATGTACTCTTCCCTCCCCCACGTATGTCTGGGGCCACTTTTGTTTGGCATTTACGCTCCCTCATGTTATTGCAAAACCATATCCTGGAGTCTGGCTAACTCAGTTTTCCCTTCACTACATTGGATGTAATTTTTACATCAAGGTGTTCCTAGACTAGACAGAGTTAGAGTTCAGCTTCTTCTAGACAAAGTGTTTAAATTTGACTAGACAGCAGCAATTCCTTTTTAATCTAAGCAAACTGATGTGTCAAAGGCAATCAGCTCAGGGAAGTTATTCCAGAAGGATCCTAATAATCCCAGTGAATCACACCACCCTATGTGAAACTCAGCCACTGAACTCTTGACATAGCGTGTTACGAGTACTTAGAGGAATAAGTACATACAGCTGAACTCTGTGTTGACACACAAACTCTAGTCTCTCGTGCATAAGCTAATGTTCACTGTGTTTTGTCTGGGGGAGGAGCAAGCTGTTCCCTGGTGATATCCATTCATGTTTAATGATACCACATCAACAAGGCTTCATGTTGCATAACCCACTGTCTTTACAAGCACTTATCGACAGTGTGCTTGATGCCTCTGTATGTAAATAAAGTTGTTGGCTTTTTATTAAAAAAAAAAAAAATCTTTCATAGAAGAATCCTGATCAAAAGGGGGAAAAAGTAGAACAGAATTTAAAATTCTCACGGACTCTAGGCTTTCTGGAGCCATGGAAGCTGGATGAACCCCTGAAACTATTGTGCTGGGATAATTTTTTAAACCTTAAACCAAAAATACCCCCTGAAGTCATCTTAAAACCAAGCAGTAGTTTAGCTTAACTAGTAAAAAAAGGTCTGCCTTGAGCATTATGCTCTTTTAAGAACTATCTACATAGATGGGATCAAATTGACAACAGCAACTTGAAAGATTAGAATGGAACCTTAGAGGGCAGTGAGTTTGTATTAGTGCCGGAGGAACAACTCAGAAAATGAGTGAGAATGGTTGCACAACTCAAAGAATGTAATCAGTGTCACTAAATTGTTAATGTAGAAAATTTTTTTTTTTTTTTTATATATCCTTCACTTTTGTACTTGAACTCATAATTTCATTGCCCTACCTGACAGAAATGTGTTCTATTTTAATGTGGCTTTTTTTATTTTTAATCTACCTTATTGTACTTTTCTGCAATAAAAACGTATAAACATTGAACTTAATTTTTAAAAAATTTCTTGTGATTATATAGCTTTTAAGAGTTAATTTGTTTTCAGGATTAAGTTATTGAAGTTTTTATTAGTATACAATCAGAATGAATATATTTTGATAACTTACTAGATATACAAGTAAAATTGAATTACAAATGCATCTCTCAATGATATGGATAGGGCTGAGATTTTTCTAATTAATTCATGTATCTGTGGATGAATATTCCTTTTTGCTAGAATGAGACATAGTTCAGCATTAATTCTGTATCTGTTTTTCATTTCACAGTATGAGAAGTTGTGTTCATATAAATGAGTAGGTAGGAATGAAATGAGTTTTGAAACAGGAATGCAATTCTAAGTTTTTGAGCTCCTGTATTGCATGCCAGAATCACATAATAATCTATCATAAAAACTTTTAAAAATGATCTATCACTAACAACTAGCTTAGGCCTTCCTTCATTTTTGCAAAAGGATTTTTTACCCAGTCATTTAAGTCACTCACTTTCTCACTAACACCAATACTTGAGGAGTTTTTTTGTTTGGTGCCTCAGAGAGGTTTTGCATCTTGGGGTAAAGCAAAGGATAAGATATGGGATGGTTGAAAGTTATGTCTTTTTTGTTGTTTGTTTCCTTAATGGGAGAAGGTTGTGGTGAAAGGGAGGTAGGAAAGAATCACCACCTTGACTGTGCCAAGTTCTTAGGCAGATCTCTGTGGAAGTTGAAGATCTGGAAATAGATTCCCCTAAAACTACTGTGCTCAAGTATTTCCCATTGAAAACTAGAGGGTACTAAGAGGTACTTCTTAGAGTCACCATAGTCACATTCTAGACCTATTTAAGCAACGAGATTACTTGAGTATAAATTTCTCTGTATATTTGCACAGAATGTGGAGCTAAGCTGCAAAATACACGTTCTTTGGGCTGAAAGGTGGGCCATAGTCCTTGCAGTGTATATTTTAGCACCTTGAGTCCTTTTAAACCTTTTAAAATATTTTCAGATAAATATCCAGTTATCCTGAATATCTTCTAAATCCTGTAGAATCCTTGTCCTGGTAGCAATAGGCACAACCAATTTCTTGAGTCTCAAGAGACTGATCATCATGCTACTTTAGGACTATTTGGCCCCAGTCCTAGGATGGAGTTTCTGTATACATTTTACTGAGGGAAATGAATTTAGAATCATGAATGTGCAGCCTGTTTCACTCTTTGTCAGTCCCACATCCCCCTAGAATTTCTCCTATGTTTGTACTGAGTCACTTTCCTTCTCATCTGATCCATTTTTCTTAGTGCAACTTGGCCAGTTAACAAGCTCTTGGAGTTAGACTTAGGTGTTCATGGTGAACTCCACACTTTTTAGTCATAGTATTAATTCCAATGGCCTCTTCCTGAAAGTGCTGTGACAATCCTGAAAATTTAACTAGTTCTGTGGTAAAGGAGATCTGGCTCTTGACAATTTTAATTTTGAATATTAAATTTATGTTTTATTATTTGTTGAGCCCTGATGTGAATGACTGGCTCATTCATTCAGTAAATATTTACTGACAGTTGACTATGTGCTGGACACTGTTCTAGGATTAGGGAAACAGACAAGGTCCCTGCCCTCATGGAGCTTACAAGCTAGTAGAGGAGACAGACAAAAAATACCTCTGGTAGATAAAAGCTATGAAGAAAAATCAGAGTAAGTGGACAGAAAGTGATGAAAAGAGAGTGCTTTATTATATAGGGGTGGAGACCAGTGGTGTTACTTGCAGAAAGAACTGAATATTAATTATATATTACCCTTGCACAAAATTGCTATTGTGGTAGGATAGTGTGAGGTGTGGAATCCCCTTGCAGTAAACAAGTTGGACTTTGGCCCTGGTTCTTGAAAGTCGGACCATCCTGAAGCCAAAGAGTGAGGGCTGACTAGACCAAGAGGAACCATCTGGGGGCCTGATGCTGACTAAGCCTTACAAGGCATGTAATCCATCATGCCCAAGTGGTAAGGCCAATTAAGGCCTTGGAAGATGGAGGTTCAGTGGAGCTTCCTGGATGTTGACAGGGAACATCTGTTCTTGCAAGGGTAAGCACACCCCATGGGGACATGGAAGCTATGCACCAAGACCCCTCCTGGACCTCGCCCTATGTGTTTGTATTCTTTTCTTCTGCTAAAGATAGCTCTTTGGAGTTTGTGAGTTGTTCCAAATGGATTTTTGGACCTAAGAAACAGAGAAGGGGCTGGTACCTAGCCCGGGGTGAATGGGGATGAGAGAGAAAGGGCTACACTGGTAGCTGGCATCTAAACTGACCAGGGAAGGAAAGCTGAGAGTTCCACAGGATGCAGTTGGCATGTGAAGAGGGATTTATCCATTACACATTTGACATCAGGGGTGAATGATCTCAGCTTCCCTGAACTGGTTTCATACAATTGGCAATGAAGATGGGATTCACTTGTGCAGCCCCCTGGCATTACAGATGGACAGTTAAGAGATACCGCCTTTTCCTTGGCCTTGTATTTTTGAGGACCTGAATATCATTTGTCCAGAGGCGAGAGAAGCTGGCAGGGGGCATGGCCTATTATGCTATTATGCTGTGTTTCTTCTGACACCAACTCCAAATGACTTCTCTGACATCAATTGCAAATGCAGTTCTTCTGACCCTAACCTACTAGAGCGAGGTCAGGTCTCAAAAGTTAAAACAGCCTAAGTCTTCAGAAACTAGCTGCAAGTTCAAAGATTCTCAGGACACCCACACTTCTGACCCTGCTGGCTACAAAATGGGAGTTCCCACTACCCCCTCAGGACCAAAACCAAAAAACACCAAACCCGTTGCCATTGAGTTGATTCCAACTCATACTCGTGACCCTATAGGACAGAGTAGAACTGCCCTGTAGGGTTTCCAAGGAGTGACTGGTGGATTCGAACAGCCAACCTTTTGATTAGCAGCTGTAGCACTTAAGCACTGTGCCACCAAAACCAAACCCAAACCCAAACCCAAACCCACTGCCATCAAGTTGATTCCAACTCATAGCAACCCTACAGGACAGAGTAGAACTGTCCCATAGGGTTTCCAAGGAGTGGCTGGTAGATTTGAACTGCTGATCTTTTGGTTAGCAGCCGTAGTTCTTAACCACTGTACCACCGGGGCTCCAACTGTGCCACCAGGGCTCCTAAAATAAATTCAACTTGGTAAGTAACCCGGTGCCATCGAGTCTGACTCATAGCAACCCTACAGGACAGAATAGAACCGCCCCATAGGGTTCCCAAGGGGCGGCTGGTGGACTCAAACTGCTGATCTTTTGGTTAGCAGCCATAGCTCTCAACAACTGTGCCACTAGGGCTCCCCCACCTCAGGATATCAGCCATAAACTCGGGGGTCCCTAGGCCACCTTCACTTTGGAGCTTGCTAGAAATTCTGGGCTTCCCACTACCTCCACAGGTTTGATAATTCACTAGAATGACTCACAGAGCTCGGGTCAGTTTTATTATAGCAAAAAGTATACAAATCAGGACCAGCATAAAGAAGAGATGCATAGGGCAAGGTCAGGAAGGGTACCAAATGTGGCACTTTCATGTCCCCAAGGATACATCACCCTCCTGGTACGTTGATGTCTATCACCAAACAGGAAGCTCACCCAAGCTTCAGTGTTCAGAGTGTTTATTGAGATTTCAATCAAATGTAGACATGACTGACTGAATCATTGACCACAGTTCCCTCCCCATCCTGTTGGGTTGATATCACATAGGCCTTTCTGGCATGGCCAGCCCATACCCAACAAGAGTTACCTTATTAGCATAATCTCTTAGATGTAGTTGGAAGTCCTCTCAATAGCAATCACTCCAATCACTCTGGAAATTCCAAGGGTTTAGTGGTTACCTCCCAGGAACTGAGGACAAAGACCAAATTCTTTGGATAAAGTACCTACCCACAGGCCCAGAGGATCTAGAAATCTTTCCAACATTCTAATGTCAGTACACATTCCTCTCCTCCCACCCTATCCCTCTTCAGTCCCAGAACCTGCCAACTGCTTTCCACTTCCTGCTCTCTCACTAAGTAAACCTGACTTCTCTTTTAGCTGCCTCTGGACTTTGTTCCTGAGCATAAAGTTTCTTCCTACTTTTGGAACAGAAAAAGGCACAAAGGATGGCATTATGTTGTGTGCCAAAGAAAGCTGAGAAATAACACATTTGCTCTGTTAGCAAGGACAGATTAAACTAATAGTGGAGCCAGAAGTGTATTTGCACTTTTATGATGTCACTAAGCAATTCCACCAATGAGGAGGCAGGATAAATGACCTATATTCTTAGTCTATTCTACAACCATTTCTTTAACTGAAATCTGGTTCTTCCACACCCCTTGTACCACTGGACCTGGAGGTGGTAGGTTTTCCCCTTGTTCTTCATTGCCCCTTCCAGATTGTTCTCTCTTCCCTCCTCCGTAAAAACTCCTAGCTTTGAAACTTATGTCCTCAGGCTCCA